GTATCACAATTAATTTGAAGAGTAATATAATATCCATTTAATATTCACAGTCTTGTACGTAAATTTCTTACAAATACGAAAACAAATTATGATAATAAAATTTAAGTGTATAATTTTGTAAAAAATATTAAAGTAAGTAAATTATTTCCTAATGTTTTTAAATAATACAAAATTAATATGGATAATAAAAAAATTAAACATCAAATCTATATTCATCAAATGTAATTTAGATAATTTAAATGATGTGTTGTATTAATAATAGAGACGTTTATACAGGTACAACAATTTAATGGTATAAATTATTGTTCAGGTAATTCCTTTCTTAGTGCTAGCTGTCGGAGTCGACAATATTTTCATCTTAGTACAAAATCATCAAAGAAATCCACGAGAAGTCGATGAAACAATTCCAGAGCACATCAGTAGAGTTCTGGCTGCAGTTGGACCTTCAATGCTGCTTACCAGTACATCGGAATGTTGCTGTTTCCTCATTGGTAAAGATATTACATAATTATTTAAAAAAATAAAGAAGAGTAGAGCCTTTCCTTCCGTTCGTAATTTTCCGTTTGTAATGTAAAAACTAAAAATTTCAGGTGCATTTTCTCCAATGCCAGCGGTCAACACCTTTGCAATGTACGCCTCGGTATCGATTTTAATCAATTTCCTTCTTCAAATAACAGCTTTTGTTGCTTTATTGTCGCTTGACTCACGAAGAGCTGAGGTAAATGTACAAACAATTTTCTTAACAATTTTTATTAATAGTTTTGCTGTGAAAGAAATCGTGTCTTTAATAATTAATAATACACATGTACAAATGAAAATTAATATTATTTTAATTATATTCGCACATTATATAATTACAATATTTCGATTTTGGAAGAAATTTTAAATCTTAACGATCAATATTTTAATTTTTAACGAGAGTCTCAAGACTTGTGCAATTTTTAAAGCGAATGACTGATATTTTTTAGAATAATCGCCTGGACGTTTTTTGCTGCGTTTCCATCAAGAATAGTTCGAATGCCAACGAACGTGATGGTATTGTTCACGCAATCTTCGAGCGCACCTACACGCCATTTCTGATGAAAACACCGGTCAGAGTTGTCGTCATAGGGATCTTCGTCGCCGCTCTCGCTACTCATGTGATGGTTTTTCCACAGATGGAAATCGGTCTGGACCAGAAGCTCTCGATGCCCGAAGACTCTTATGTTCTCAAATACTTTACGGTAAAGAATTCTTTTCGAAAAAACAATGAAAATCAAAATATTAGAATTATTACAATTCAACGCAATCATTTTCACTTAAAAATCGAAGCGAGAAATATTTTTCTCTTATTAAAATTCGAGAGAAGGCATTTACTTTATATTTTTAGAATATCATACATTTATTATACGGAATTGTTATATAAATATCATTATAACTATAAATGACTGTTGTATTTTCAGTATATGGAAGATCTCTTTTCGATGGGACCACCTGTATACTTTGTAGTGACAGAAGGCCTGAATTATAGTAAGAAGGAAGTACAGAACGTCATATGCGGCGGTCAAGGATGCAATACAGATTCTTTATACACACAGATTTATTCGGCTGCCAAACAATCCTCCGTGTTTGTATTTCTCATAGTTTAAGGAATCTCCAAAAAATGTGTTGCAAGTAAAAAAAAATCAAGAAAATAAATAAACGAAGACAATGGGCTAATGAAAATTGGCGCTGTAGTAATTGCGCTATTATTTCATAAATTCAATATTATAAACATATATATGTACATAGACAATTCGGTTAATCTTTTGGCCAACATCAGTATCAAAAAAGACGAATTAATGTAAATTAATGGTCGTGAGGAGATCCTTACTACTCTCCCACGCATTTTTCTTCTACTTCGTATTCTAACATAAAATAAAATATCTATTTGTTTTATTAAACTAATTTTATGCTCTTTTACTGCTAATCAATTTGGCATTTGCAATTATTTTCTGGGAATCTTTGTAGCTAAATTAATAATATTTATTTCAAAATATCACTCATGCAGGAAGAACTTTATTAATCATTGCAGATCCTATTTGTCTAAAGCAGCTTCCTCTTGGATAGATGATTACCTCGATTGGTCGTCGATTGGTAGCTGCTGCAGATATTATACGAACAACCAATCCTATTGTCTGCACACTAATGGTATGTATAATCACATTTCAAAATTATTATATTAATATACATGTTACGTATATGTATGTAATATCAATTTTCGGATAATAATGTTATGCTCTTTAAGCTTACGCAATTTTCTTTCTTATCAACTTTCTTAGCAAATTTAACTCGACGATAAAATAACTTATAGATAACTGTCAGCCATGCAGAATTATCATTGACCAGGATACCTCCCGTCCGAATGAAACAGGTTTCAGAAAGTACATCCCATATTTCGTGAACGACATTCCAGACGAAAAATGCGCCAAAGCTGGCAAAGCCCTTTATTTCGATGTAAGTCATCGTGTAACATTATTAAGAATCATCGCATTTTAATAAACTAGAATGGAGTATTTTTATGCACAAAATAAATTCTTTCCAATTCTAAAAACGTAACAAAAACTAAAAATTAGATTTTTTAAATAACAAAATATGCTAATAAAAATTCTTGTTTGAATAGGCAATAAACTTTTATTACGATGAGTATGGTCTAACAAATGTGAATGATTCGTATTTCATGGGTTATCATACGCCCTTAAAAAAATCATCCGATTGGTACGAGGCACTGGAAGCTGCCAGGATAATATCAGAAAACATTACAAACACAATCAACAATGCTAATGTGTCCGATCAAGAAATCCATGTATTTCCATATAGGTAAGATTTCAATAAATTAAAAAGAATTCTATGCTTTTACAATCGTCTAATTTGAAAAATTGGTACCTCGCAAAATATAAATTGCCAATTTTTCAAAATTTTTATACTTTTCTTACTATCATGTATTATTAGTTATCGAATAAATTTTTCATTGCATGTTTCAGTGTATTCTACGTGTTCTACGAGCAGTATTTAACTATCTGGCGAGAAACCTTATCATCGATAGGTTTATCCCTTGCTGTGATCTTCGTGGTGACGCTATTTTTCACAGGAATATCATTATTCTCCACAGTGATAGTCGTTCTTACTGTCTTGATGATAATAATCAATTTGGCGGGTCTAATGTATTGGTGGAACATCAGTTTGAACGCAGTTTCTCTAGTAAATTTAGTTATGGTTCGTATTTATTTTATTTTTGCTCGAGTTCTCTAATGAGATATCGCCTATAATTAAATAATTAATTATTTTTATCATAAATTTAATAATATTATATAGGAATATTTATTCGTTTATCAGATTACGATATAAAATTTTATTTAATTGATGTATGTATATGTTTAAAATAATTATATTTTTAAAAATGAATTGTTAAATTATATAATAAATTTACTATATTATTATTATGCACTAAAGTATGAATTTTTGTAGGCGGCTGGTATCTCCGTAGAATTTTGCAGCCATATAGTACACTCCTACATTACTTCTGTAGAAACGACGAGGATTGGTAAAGCATCAGAAGCTCTTTCCGTCATGGGAAGTTCTGTAAGTCCAATCAAATGTCGTGAAGTACCGATACATTTTCTAATTTAAATATCTCAAAAGAAAATCTCTAATTTTCTTGGATAAAATATATTTTGTATATAAATTCATTTTCACGCTAAATTCTATTTCGTAGGTATTCTCTGGGATTACTTTAACCAAATTGGTGGGAATCGTGGTACTGGCGTTTGCAAAAACACAGATTTTCCGAGTTTTTTATTTCAGAATGTATTTGGGAATTGTTCTGTTTGGAGCGACTCACGGGCTAATATTCTTACCAGTGTTGTTAAGTTTTATAGGTGAGTATCGCATAATCATATTGAAGCCGCTAATTTTTTAAAATGTAATAAGATATGTAACGCAATAATGTAATTATTGATTATTACAGGACCTGTATAGAATACTTATTGTTCTATGAAGATAAGAAAAACTTATAAAAAAAGTGTTCAACAATGGAAAAGCTATCCTATATGATTTATGCTTATTTAGAGATTATCAGTATGATTAGTAAATTATTTCATTAATATGATATGACTCTACAAAATTTTAATTTCTGCATCATTATTCGAATATCATTTGCGTTAGACTGAATACACAGTTGTATATTGTCAACGTGTAACAATCATCATGTATATAATTGTATATATATTCAGCAAATCAGTGCAATTTTTCATCGAAAAAAAATTTGTCTTATTGAAATTTTCCAGCAAGAGACACAAATTAACACAACAATCATTCTGTCCTTGTTCGATAATGAATAAGAAACAGATAGAATGACTCTTGTGTCGATTTGTGCTTCTGCTGAAAAGTTTCCATTATGTCGCGTGCGTTAACATAAATATTTTTGAGAAATTATCTTTTTTTTTCTAAATTTAAAAGTGCAAAAAATATATTGATATATAATATTCTTGAGACTTACACGGGTGCTTTCTATATAACTGTTGTGTTATATAGAAATATTGTTTCTATATAGGTTGGCATTTCAAGAATGGATCTAGACACGGAGAAAACCCGCGAAACACATAACAGTTATATTTTGATATTTGCATTTATATTTATAGATAAGTGAAGAACAAATAGTGAATTTGTAACTTTATCAGTATTCATCTTTCAAGTGATTGATTGTAATATCAAACATTTGAAAGATATAACTTATTCATCTATTAATTAAGCATTAAAATCAATAAAATTAAATAATATAAATTATTTAAAACGTAAACTTAGTCTTTCATTCTAATAAAGATTTCTCTTGGGGAGCCTTATATTGTAACTCAAATTTTATATTGTAGTAAAGGTATCACAAGTACGACAAATCATTTGCTTTTGAAGTTATATAATAAATATTGCACAAAGAAAATTTTTGATTGGGCTTTAAAGTTTACAGAAAAATCATTCGACCTTAATCCTAATGCAATTTAATGTTTATTAGACAAGAACGCGTTCATTTGCATATATATATTTGGATTACATTTTCTTACATTCTTGTTGCACTTCGACATAAATATTTTTCAAAGTAATATTATAAGTATACGTAGTTACGTGAAACATAAGTTAAAAAAAAACGTTAAATATATAAATGCTACCTCAATACTACTGATGCTATTCTTTTTCAATTTGCGACTACCTTTCTGTAGATTCCAGCTCACAAGAGCATACCTCCGCGAAGTCGTAAAACTAAGTGGAGTGTGGATTCTTTTTGGATGTTGTAATCAGAAAGAGTTCTGCCATCTTCCAGTTGTTTGCCGGCGAAAATCAGACGCTGTTGATCCGGTGGAATTCCCTCTTTGTCCTGGATTTTGGCCTTCACGTTTTCGATGGTATCTGAAGCTTCAACTTCGAGGGTAATTGTTTTACCGGTGAGAGTTTTCACGAAGATTTGCATTCCTCCTCGAAGACGCAAAACCAGGTGAAGCGTGGATTCTTTCTGAATGTTGTAATCAGAAAGAGTTCTGCCATCTTCTAGTTGTTTGCCGGCGAAAATCAGACGCTGTTGATCCGGTGGAATTCCCTCTTTGTCCTGGATTTTGGCCTTCACGTTTTCGATGGTATCTGAAGCTTCAACTTCGAGGGTAATTGTTTTACCGGTGAGAGTTTTCACGAAGATTTGCATTCCTCCTCGAAGACGCAGAACCAAATGAAGGGTAGATTCTTTTTGAATGTTATAGTCCGAGAGTGTCCTACCGTCTTCCAATTGTTTACCAGCAAAAATCAAACGTTGCTGGTCAGGAGGAATGCCTTCTTTGTCTTGGATCTTAGCTTTTACGTTTTCTATTGTGTCAGAGGCTTCAACTTCAAGAGTGATGGTTTTACCGGTAAGAGTTTTCACGAAGATTTGCATTCCTCCTCGAAGACGCAGAACCAGATGAAGCGTGGATTCCTTCTGGATGTTATAGTCTGAAAGTGTCCTACCATCTTCCAACTGTTTACCAGCAAAGATCAATCGTTGCTGGTCAGGAGGAATGCCTTCTTTGTCTTGGATCTTAGCTTTTACGTTTTCTATTGTATCAGAGGCTTCAACTTCAAGAGTGATGGTTTTACCGGTGAGAGTTTTCACGAAGATTTGCATTCCTCCTCGAAGACGAAGAACCAAGTGAAGTGTGGATTCTTTTTGAATATTATAATCAGAGAGAGTTCTGCCATCTTCAAGTTGCTTGCCAGCAAAAATCAGACGCTGCTGATCCGGGGGAATTCCCTCTTTGTCTTGAATTTTGGCTTTCACATTTTCAATGGTGTCCGAAGCTTCGACTTCAAGGGTAATGGTTTTACCCGTAAGAGTTTTTACAAAGATCTGCATGCCTCCACGAAGACGCAGAACAAGATGAAGCGTAGATTCCTTCTGGATGTTGTAGTCAGAAAGAGTTCTGCCATCCTCTAATTGCTTTCCAGCAAAGATCAAACGTTGCTGATCTGGAGGAATACCTTCTTTGTCTTGGATCTTAGCTTTGACATTCTCGATAGTATCAGAAGCTTCTACCTCAAGGGTAATGGTTTTTCCAGTGAGAGTTTTTACAAAGATTTGCATGATGAATCTGTAAATAACAAAAAACACATATATTTTATTATAATAGTAAGTCTAATATAATCTTTGTATCATTAATAGTAAAATTCTTTCGCAATATAATAATTATTAGATGCTTTTTATTTCATTTGGACACAAGCTGACAAGTGTCATTCTGTTTTTTTTTATTTATGAAATGACAAGAAAAACATTTAGGTTAATTTGTGTCACTAAATGGAAAGCATTAAAAGTTTTAACTGCAAAAATACAAATTTAAGAATAAAAAAATTTAATTCAGTGTAGAAAAAATAAGAATGGTAATTTTACAGCATATTTGATTCCGATATTCTCAAAATGAAATTATCTTGAACGTTTCTATTTAGTAACATTTCATCTTTCTCAGCATTTAATGAGCAACAAAAATAGAAAAATACTTGTCAGCAAATAGAAGTATCCTTTTTTTTCTTTTTTTACAGTTTTATGTATTTTATTTCGACCTTTATAAGGTACATCGTAGTCATTAATTCCAATTGCAATCAACGGTATAAATGAATTAAATTTTTTTATTCTTAAATTTGTATTTTTGCAGTTAAAACTTTTAATGCTTTCAAAGCGTTAGATTAACGAAGAAATTAGGTCAAAGATATGTACGCTTCGTAGCAACGAACAATTTGCAGGTCGCAACCTCTACAAAGCACCTATTCACATAATGGCGTCCTTCCAAAAAATAAAATAATTTCCGACATTCTACTCTATCTACTAAATTTAATATAGGACAAACCTAAAGTGTTATTTTACGTGTTCAAGGTAAACGAACAATTTGAATCTTGCCATTACAAACCTAATGTAATATAATCGATCGCAAGGTATGACAGCAAGGAATTGTTACTTGGCAAAATGGAAGGACTCTTGGCGTCGACACAAAGCAGAAATTTCTAATCTGCGCAACAGTGAGATTTTCGTATACAATGATGAAACGGATAATCGATCGCTTACCTGAAATCGAAATGATCCGCAGCTACTGACTCGCAATGCAACCCAGAATCTTCAATAAAAGAAACTTATAAGAACAAGTATTATTGGATCAACTTTAATTAACTCTCTGAGCTCTCTACTTTCACAAAATATTGCAGTATAGAAACGCACGAAAAAATAACATCTGACGAGCACATTTCCTGCGCATGCGCCAAACGTGTCAATGACCGATAGGATAAAGTGCCTCCTCTCTAAGCGCCTCTGAAGGTCTGTTCTTTATTTTGTCTGAACTGGTGCGCGCAGTGCAGGTTTGTTCGTCTTGCTTAAGGGTTCCGCACAATAAAAGGAACAGGGAACAGAAAATGGAGAATAAGGAGTTCCGCACGATAAAAGGAACAGGGAACACAAAATAGAGAACAAGAATTTCAACCTATCAGAAGTCATGTATTGTGGAATACACAGTTTCTGATAGGTTGAAATTCTTATTCTCTGTTCTCTGTTCCCTATTCCTTTTATTGTGCGGAGTCCCTTATTCTTTGTTCCCTGTTGAAAATCATATCTCTATCCTTTCAATATCTAAAAATAATATTTTTTCTACGCATGCACAACACATTGTGAATACTATTCAATTCAAAATTTTGAATAGAAAATGCAATTTTTCAATCCAATCGAATCTAATTGAATCCAATTAAATCCAAAAAAGTATTCGCTATTTATATATAAAATACGCATTCGGATAGAAAAAAATTTCCATTTTAATCCATTCTCATTTGCTGGGTAATGATTTTTAGATACGATTAAAAAATCGATTCGAAAAAATTTATTCTTTAACGAATACTTTATATTATAAATGACAAAAATTCGAGGAAGAAAACGTAATGGCAAAAGGTGAATTATTTCTCGAGGAACTTTATTGAAAGAATTTTAGTAAGCGAGAAACATTTTGGGACATTTCAGCAACATTTTAGGAATGTTGTAATGTTTGTTGATGAAAAGTGCCCCTTACTTATTATGTACTGAGATGTCGTTTAGCATGTCTAGTTTAAGATGTCTCCATGCTGCTAATGTCACATATGACTGTAAACAATATGTGATTTACTCCCTACTTCTTAAGTCTGAATATTATATTTTCTAGAAATTTCA